AGGAAAAGTACTGTGTACTGTGAGTATTATCACAGTAATAACTGATGGTTTTCCTGCTCTTGTTTTCTTCAGTTAGTTACTGGATGGTTTAGGGTCGACTTAACAGAAAATGGTGCATTTCTGTTATGAAACTTCTAATTCAGAGCTACTTCAATCAGATCTTCCGTGTTTTCATTTGTCATGTGTGCATATGACCATATTCAAGTTTTACGAGCTAGTTAGAGGCACCATCTCTCAGTCAAAATTGCTTCAGTTCATCTCATGTCAGTAGGATGAAAATCTATGCCCTCTGCATTTACGAACCTTCTGAACCTGGGTCTGGAGGACACTGGATTAGATGCTCTGCCGATTACCACTGTCCAAGGGGGGCACCTTGGACAGTGACTTCTCTAAGTTCCAGTGTCCTCGTGAGTAAGAGGGGAAAGACAGTGCCTCTATCCAAGTGTGGTTGTAAGATCTAAGAAGGACCATAATAATATTATCTAAAATGTACTGAGCACTTGCTCTGTGCCGGATGCCATGCCCAGTACTCCATAAGCTTCTATTGTTATTGTAAGTCTGGAGTGGAATTGTAACCAGACTGTGGAAGGCATGAGCCATAGCTAAGGAATCTGAAGGTTATGGTAGAGCTGGGATTCGAATCTGGTCAGTAGGACTCCAAAGTCCATGATCTATGCCTCTCGCCAATCTTCAGCCAACCTGTGTTCCAGTCAAGCATCTCTTTGATGCCCTTTTTCCCCCCCCAAGAAAATTTCTTCCCTTGGAATTCACATCCCCTACTTGTGCATATTGAAATTCTTCCTCTACCAAGACTCTCTTGGCCCTGGAAGCTTTTCCTGGTTACCCTCCTTGGAATTCTCATCGGCACTTTGCACAGGAGAACTTGAAAGCAGGGAACTCTCCAGACATCATTGTATCCCTCCTCTCTTCTCCAGCACCTCCCACTTAATTTGCACTCATTAAGTATGTATGGGACCGATGAATAATTATCTTGAAGCCTAGGGCTCACCCTCTGCCCTTGGCTTGCAGAGTCTTGAGGGGAGGACAGGAACACAGGACCCCACCACTGTTACGTGGTCAACAGCCCAGGTGAGACGCACAATGGTCACTAACTTGGGAGCTCCCAGCTCCCTGCTCTGTGCCATCCCGTGAGTTACGTGGCCTCCAGGAGAGAGTAGGTTGGGCTGAAGGCAGGAAGCCTCAGGCCTCCACGATGGGAGCAAGACTGTTTGCAAAGGCCATGGCAGCCCACCAAAAGACTCGCACACGCAGTCTTAAATTTTCAACAAATGCTCCTTGACACCTAGACTTGTCCATCACTGAGCTCTCTGTGGGGTGGGGCTAGAAGTGCTAGGTCAGAAGGAAAAGAGCTGAAGTGAGCTGATGCGCTGGGAAGTTCAGAGCTGCCTCCAATTAATGCAAATTCTGCTTCTCTTATGACACTGTTTTTTCTGGCACTTGATCATAACACCTTTATTTTTAGCTCCACTCAAACTTCACATCCTCTACCTCTTCCATCCCTGGGGATGTTCAGTGGTTCCAAGAAAAAGCGAGAGTCTTTGATGAAGCATCTCCACAGAGGCTGCGGCTCTGAAGGGCTCAGTGAACTCTTGTCTCTGTTGCATGGCACCGACGCGGTCGCAGGAGTCTTGGGTCATTTCCGACCCCGTGGGGAGCCTGCTGCCGCAGCTAATGCGAGACCATTAGTAGAGATGGACATTTTAAATCCAGGCATTTAAACTGTAATCCTACTAAATAATTTGTTTCCTGTTTTATGTTGTTTGCATAGAAGAGGGGGTGGAAAATGCAGAAATGTTTTCCAGCGCATTTCCTTCCTTCCACCCCCAAACCTGCTAAAGATACAGCGTGCAGATTTCATGGTGTTGGTAGAGTTACTCCAAAGAGTTAGATTTTTATGTGCTCAGTTACTTTCCTGGTAGGAAGGGCATCTTATACTTTCTATCACTAAAACGAAGGTGCTCAATGAATTGATTGCTTACCTGCGGATTTCATACCCTGGTTTTGAGCTCTGTGGAAATGTGGCCAGCAGATATTATGGTCCCCAGAGGGGGACTTCACCTCCATTTTTTCTTCTTTTCTATTTTTTATCCACTGAAATCCTGCTCCATCCTTAAAACTGAAATTGATCTTTTGGTGGTTGCCCGAGACTTTCATTCTGTCAAATGAACGTGTGTGTGTTGTCATGAATCTTAGAGGCATCTGAGACTGTCGAGCACCCGTTCCTGAATCTTTGTCCTGTGACCTCCTTTCTCTTTCTTTGGCATGAGATTTTGTGCTCACCTTTCTACTACTACTCTTTTTCGTTAAGTTCAGCCATTCCTTTGGCTTCTCCTCCTGCCCCAGGGTAGGCGACTCCCCCAGATACAAACCTAGGGCTGTTTCGTCTCCTTTGTCCCAGTCCTGTATGTCCAACTGCCCACAGGACATCCATACTTAAATGACCCACATTTCATCGCACATTCAGAGACTCCCGAGGGAATCTATTATGTTTGCCCACTCAAATATCTTTTTTCTTCCCAATGATTCCATTTCCATCAGTTACAGCCCCATTCTTTCCAACACACAGAAATACAAATCGAGAGGTCATCAGTGCTGCAGCGCACTCTGCCACCCCCTACACCCAATCCGTGACCATCCCTCCCTGCCCCTGGGTTTGCCCTTGTTCCCCAGCTGACACCCAGCCCGGCCCAGGCGCTTGGTGCCCTTGGCAGTGACGGCCTCCCAGGCTCTGCCTCCCTCCCCGCCTCTCCCACTCCGGTTCTCTGTGCCCACGCCCCAGCTATGGGGTCTCCCCCGCTTCCCACCTCTCAAACTGGGGATGGTCCCTGCTGCTTGGTGAGTGAGACGTGCACCCCTCTTGCTGTTCTCAACGATACGCCATGACGTCCAGCCCCCGCTCTGCGCTCTCATTCTGTAATTAATGGATGAAATCCCCAAATCCTTGTTGAGTGCCCTTGATGCGGACCACGTCCCTGGCAGCCCTCAAGTGGCTTGTGGTTTCCTGAGCAGACATGTTCACTGCCCTTGCGGTCCCTCCCCGGCTCCTCTTCCAAGTTCAGCTCGTCTCAGCTCCTCACAGCTGCCTTCACCCTCTTCAACCCACGGGGATGAGTCCTCCTTCAGAATCCCTATTGTTCTTATCATCGTGACCCCTTCAGTTATTCCGATTTTTTTGTTAGTTTTGTTAGTTTGTGTGTTAGTTTTAACTGCTTAACCAGATTGTAATATCTTTAAGGTCCACTGCCTTTTATTTGCTGTGCTAACTGTTCGCAGTGCTAGTTGTGTATTATTTCTCATTGCTGTAGTAGTAGTCATGATAGCTACTACTAATTACTACTAATCTCTAATTATATGTAATTAAGATATAATTAGGATAATACAATGAAGCAGGCATTGCATAAAGCGCTGTGTGTGCATTTTCTCATCTAATGAGCAGGTATTCAGCACATACTTAATTGACTTAAGGAAGACACTTGCTCAGCTGTTCACCAGCTGTGGGTCTCAGGGAAGCTACTTCTGTCGCAGACTTAGTTTCCTCCTCTACAAAATCAGGGGCTGGCTGCTTGCTTTTCTGGGTTCTTTTCATTTCCAACACTGTGGGTTCAGTTCAGTTCACTCGTGTTTAGGGAATCCTTTCTGTGTACTCCGCACACATTTGTTGCTTAGAGAATATAAAACAAATAGGACTCGGTCCCTTCCCTCGGAGGTTTTACCAGATAGTGTCACAACAGGAAGCAGGGGTATCTGAGGGCTAGAGGACAAGAGAGCGGATTACATCATTAGGAAAACGTGGGGAGATTCCTGAGCGTCGATCTTAATTAGAAGCTTCCTGAAGGAGGAGAGATTTCCGTTGAGTTGAAAGGAGCCAGTTGATGGAGTGGGAGTAGAAGTACCACTTGGCAGAACTGATGGGCAAAACAAGCTATTCAGCAGGGAACAGGACGGGGGGCTGTGTTGAGGACCAACCAAGCAGACGTTTTGAAGTATGCTAAAGTTAGAATGGTCACCGTATTGATGTTGCTTTGAGATAAAACCAGAGAATCTCCACTGTATCGTGAAACTATGTGGATTTCAGAGGAGTAAAACGTTTGGATATTCAAGATGGATCCTCAGATTAAAACCACTTATTTCGGCTCCCCCATGCTGACTCATAACCCACAGGGGACCTTCCATTGCGAGCCCGATACATCTGGATTTGTCAGTATGTAATATAATTAATTACCATTACCATTGGCTAATGCTAATGTTTAATAATAAATATTTTGCCTCTCTTCATTTCAAAGGGAAATGGAAGAGGTTTGCAAATATATTTGCCATGAAACAAGATAAAAAAAAATACAAGAGATAAAAAAAAAAGAAGAGAAAAGCAGAAATAATAGAGCGAGGTCAGAGGAAACATTTGAATGCCCAACAGCTCTAAATACTTTATTAGAGGTCAGCTGCATACTTAGAGGTCAAGGATCTTAATAGCCAATGCATTTTTTTTTCCCTGAAGGAAAAGGTTTTATTTTTAATATGATGTAGCATCTCTCAGATTCCAAGCTCATATTCAGGGGCTTATCCTTATCGATGAAAGGGATTTTGGATATTGGATAATGCTGTGTGCTTCCATTCATGCCAACTGCTTTTAAAGGAACTCATCAGAAACAGGCTGAAAGCAAAACAGCAGCCCAGGGCTTCCTGGCTGAGCTTCTGAGGCTGCATTGCTAATGCACCTCTGATTCTACTTAAGGAAACCCCGGTTCTGAGGTCGAAGAGAATTTCCTCTCCTTGGAAAACATAATTGTCATTTATTATTTCCTTTCAGGAAAGGCTTTTCTCTCTGCCTCCCCCCAGCCCCACACTCTTTGATGACTTTGTGCCATTGGAGGGAGGGCACTGGGTGGCTACATCTGAGAACAGGGGAAGCCAGCATGATGGCTGGAGGGTCCCTGGACCGGGGCGGACCTGCTTTGAGTCCATGTCTCTCTCATTCATAGCGTCAAACAGCACGAGCGCTACGGCCAGTTGACTCTGGTCAATTCCACGTCGGCTGACACGGGCGAATTCAGCTGCTGGGGCCAGCTCTGCAACAGCTACGTCTGCAGGAGGGACGAGGCCAAAACGGGCTCCACTTACATCTTTTTTACAGGTAAAATGTTCAGTGCATCAGCGAGGCTCTTGTAACTTCTGGACTTGGCACAGCACTGAAGGTTCCCACTACACGTTGAGTAGCAAAAGATGACAATAAGAACACATGCTGTTTGCCAGGCCCCGGGCTACACGCTTTATGTCAATTATTTATTATTTCATGCAGGTCTTACAGTGAGCCTTCAGGGAAAATACTAATATCATTTCCATTTTTTTCCAGATAGGAAAGTAGTGGTTTAGAGATTAAATCCTTAAGGTCACAGGGCAAGTAAGTAGTGGTAGCGGGATTTGAACATAGAATCATCTGATTCCAGGGTCTGTACCTGTACTGTCCAATATGGTAGCCACTGGACACATGTGATTACTTAAATGAAAATTAATTAAAATGAAATAAAATTTAAAACAGTTTCTCAGTGCACCTGCATATTTCAAGTGCTCAGTGGAGACACATGGCTAGTGGCTATTGCACCGGACAGCACGGATAGAGAATGTTTCCTTTATCACGGAAAGTTCTGTTGGTCAGCACTGCTGCTGACTTCTCATCACCACGCTCTCAGACCTATGATGCTCTCCTTCCTGGAAACTCCATAATTATATGATTCTTTGCTAAAGATCTCCTCCCATTTGTTCTTAGGGGTACTATGAGCTGAGGTTTGGGGGGCAGGATTCCCAAAGGTGGTGGTCCTTCAGGGCTCCAGTCCCTGTCCCTGAGCCTAGGTGGGGTGCCTGGGAACGTGCAGGTCACAGTGGAGAACTCTTTGCCCTGCAGTGCGAGGTATGCGTTTGCAGGGTGCAGCCTGCACTCTGAGAGAAGAGCCTGGCAGAGTAGCTGTTCAGCCTCTTTCCTCTGCAGAGTTCTCTATGCTAAAGTCTGGGGAATGAAGTTCTCGAACAAGGATCAGAGATCAGGAACACTTTCAGGAATCTTGCAAATTCCACGCCCAGGTTCTGTTGCCGTTGAGGCATTTCAGGGGAATCCAGAATCCTTTCTCCGTGTCCGGGCAGGGGATTTCATGAAATTTGTCTGTGCCCTGAATCCACCTACCTTTCAGAGCTAGAATGACTCAGGCCTATGACCCAAATGATCTTCTGCCCTGGCCATTAGTGCTTTAGCAAAATCTCATGTGTTTTTTCCCTTCCTGCCCAAATAGCTCCTCTCTGGCAAGAACATGCATTAGCAGGGCATGCTACAATTCTGGAAGCACATGTATCTCACTTCCACATCCCTAGGAAATGAGCAAAGACTATTTCCTCTATTTTAGAGACAATAATGCCGATGTGGAAACTCAGTGCTCCATGACTTGTAGTAGCAGAGTAAGGAGTCCAACCCCGGTTTTCTGACCCAGGATTCGGTGTTCCTACTGCCTTGAACCCTTTCCTAGGACAAGGTGATGGGTGGACTGACAGCCAGACACCAGCTGGCAAAACTGGTGTTGTGAGGAGAACCGCTAACAGTTGTTCATGGGCAATCTGTTTGGATCTTCATTTTGGAACATGCTACACAGAATCGCCCACGTCCCCTTTGTATCATGCCATGTCGTGAAGCAACAGTGGAAAAGGCAACCAATGAAAACTAATAAAAGTCTATTGTTACAGACAGGACCGATGCCATATTGCAAATCACAGAATGAAGACTCTTGCCAAAATTAGCACTGTTGTGTCTTCCCAAAGTATTGGTCGGGGTTTTGAATTGAAGGCTTTGCTGGAAAAGAATGTCCTACTAAGGTTATGGACTCTCTTTGAGTTTTTTTTTTTTTTTTTTGAGACAGAGTCTCACTGTGTTGCCCGGGCTAGAGTGCCGTGGCATCAGCCTAGCTCACAGCAACCTCAAACTCCTGGGCTCAAGCAATCCTCCTGCCTCAGCCTCCCAAGTAGCTGGGACTACAGGCATGCGCCACCATGCCGGCCAATTTTTTCTATATATTTTTAGTTGTCCGATCAATTTCCTTCCATTTTTAGTAGAGACGGGGTCTCGCTCTTGGTCAGGCTGGTTTCGAACTCCTGAGCTCAAACAATCCGCCCGCCTCGGCCTCCCAGAAAGCTAGGATTACAGGCGTGAGCCACCGGGCCCAGCCTCTTTTTGAGTTTTGGGTACAGGTCCTCTTACTTAATTTACTGAAGTCCCTTTGTGAATCAAAGGAAGGTTAAAACATACTTATTTCAACTGTCAAGACATCTGGATCAAAAGGGAGGTGACCTAATGTGTTGTATCATTTTTTCTTAATCCTCAACACTACGCTAGGAGTCCAGTTGGATTCTTAGTACAGAGTTTAGCAATTTGTCTTCAAGCATGGATGGGTTTGAAAATCCAAGATGGGCCTTTACAGAAGCTGAGGTTCCCGTCCTTGGCTCTGGATTCTGTCCGAACATATGTTTCCCAGCTACCCATGTAGAGAAACGTCTGTCGTTCATTATGTTTGTATGTTTCCTCGAGTGAAGCTTCTTGGGGGGGGGGGCGGCTGATTGTTGTTAATTTGTGCAAGTTTTGCTTAAGCAACTGCCACATGTATTTCCTCTTTCATCTTTATTCAGGAGGCTTTGGGAGGGGTTTTTCCCCCCCTTTTCTTTGTTTAATTGACATATATAAAGAAAACACTCAAATCCTAAGCATACAACTCAATAAATTATCCTCAAGTGAACGGACACATGCAACTACCACCCAGGTCAAGTATGGGAACGTCACCGGCGACGGGGCTTTCTCAGTAAAAGGCTTGGGCTCTAATTTTCATATGTAGGAAAACAACATTAATAAGTAATTACTTTATGAAATATTGAGTTTGCTATCATTGGGTTTTAGTCTGTAGCCTCCTAACTTTATTTTTTTGGAAATACAAAATCCCAGATGCTCACTTTTCTTAAAGTAGTATGTTTGTCATCTACGTAAGTGGCTATAAATACACTTGCAGGGGACGTATGTCTAAATGAACTTCAACACACATTTTGTTTTTGTAGATGGAAGCCACCGACTGCAAATACATTTTTAAGGCAATGGATGTGGCCACTTATTTCAAAGCAAGTGTTACAGTACGAGAAGTCAGCTGACATTTTTGTGTTCTGAAATTCAGATGGTTCCCTTACTCTCCTGGCTTTGCTTATTGGTTCAGATTACCCTACATACCCTTACTTAAAGCAAAAGTTGCCTCTAAATCTCATAATCATAAAATCCTGAAGAGTTACTGCTAAAAAGACATCTTTAATACTATCTACGCCAGATTCTTCTCTTGATGAATGGAGATATGGAAGCCCAGGGAGATTAACCCGTTCAAGGCCACGTAGATTGACTCCATGTGAACACGTGAATCTTGGGCACAGCATTAACAAAGGTGCCCCTGCCTGAGCCTGAATGTCAATTTGTCAGAAAGTAGCACGAATCACCTGGGTTGTTATAAAGACTTGCAAAATATGGATACTTGCTGAGCTAGGACATACTGTTTGCTCATCTTGGAGCCAGGAGAAAGAACCTCCACGTTAGTGAACTTGGTAATCAAAGCCCAAGAACTCTCGGCCCATGAAGACATTTGATGTTGTGTCCAGCAATTCTGTCCCCAACCTAAAACACCATACATACAGCTGTGACACAAAGAAGGCTAGTGGAGGAAAAAGTCAAGAATAATTATTTGTTTCAGGAACATTGCAGGGAAAACACAGGAAATGATTTTAACAAGTGTTGGGGTACGATTAGCTCCAAAGGTTTCTCTTAGCAATTACTGTAATGTTCCCTGACAGAATGATCCAGAAAAACAAAAGATTTAATGTGCCAAAGAGGGGGAAAAAGAAAACAGAAAACCCACCATCAAAAAAAAAAAAAACCCAAAAGCCCAACCCAGAGTCCCTTGACTGTCCCGACAGTGTGGGTAAGCCAGTCCTCATTTCTGTGAGATAAAAATGCCACCATCTAAAGCTTAAAGAACCACGCAGAGTGATTTCAGAGGAAACGGGGTGTAAGAGACTGGTTGGAGGTCCCCAGCCGGGTGGTGGCCAAGCTGAACCCAGACTGGAGACCTATGGGTTCCTCCTCTGTCCCATTCCCTTCCAATAACCTTGGCAGGTGCCAGGTCCTCTGGGCTTTGAGTGTGGGGGCAGTCTGAGGACACTGTCACTGTCACTGACACAGGTCCTCCAGGGCCTCCTGGAGGAGCTCCGATCTGCTGCGAAATCCCTCCCTGCCAGCCGGCCCCCATGCCGGGGCTGCTGCTCACATAAGAGCAGCAGGTGACTTCGAGGTTTAAAGCTGCTCTTAAGGAAATCAGCCTCCTTCCCTGCTTCCTCGGGGCAGTGATCCATGGGACTGATTTGGGCTCGAACTACCTACCTTTTTCTGTTTCTTTTAAGGAGATGGGAAGTGAAAATCATTCTTTGAGAAAATGAAAAGCATTTTTTAAAAATCAGCTTTTTCTATTTGTAGGGACTCGGTGTTCTGAGTACATTGCCAGAGTCCTTAAGGCCCTGACCACTCATTCCTCCAAAGTCAGTAAGCCTCTGTCTCCCTCTTGCAGAGAAAGGAGAACTCTTTGTGCCGTCTCCCAGCTACTTCGACGTTGTCTACTTGAATCCGGATAGAGAGGCCGTGGTTCCTTGTCGGGTGACGGTGCTGTCTGCCAAAGTCACCCTCCACAGGGAGTTCCCGGCCAAGGAAATCCCTGCCAATGGAACGGACATCGTTTACGACATGAAGCGAGGTTTCGTGTACCTGCGGCCCCAGGTGGACCAGCAGGGGGTGGTCTACTGCAAGGCCGAGGCCGGGGGCAAGTCGCAGATCTCGGTCAAGTACCAGCTGCTCTACGTGGAGGGTGAGCTTGGCCCAGCCCTGCCCAGATTCTAGTCACCTCTATGGCCGGTGTCCGGCATGCCGTTCCTTGTTGAGGGGCATGGTGTTCCCTGTTAGGGTGGGGACTCGTTGTGCAGGATGAGAAAGAATTCTCAACACAGAGTTTAGGATAGAAAGAAGTAAAGTTTATTTTACTTTTCCCCAAGAGAAGGGGAAAGGGCTTGGCACATGAAAGAAAGAAAGAGTGTGGCTGGAGGCTTAAGGGGCAGGGTTTTTTTGGGGAAAAAAAGGAAGAAAAAAATGGTGCCAGCCGATAGCAGAAAATGGCTGCATCTGTTTTTCCTTTTTTCTCTCTGTCTGGGAGCCTGACTTATCAGAGTGGTTGCAACGTGGGCTGGCAAGAACTGGGGATGCATCAGCTTCTATCTGCTCAGTGCTTTTCGAGTGCTGTGGAAACAAACTCTTAGAGGCCACAGGTGGTTAATCTTAAAGACAACAGGTTAAGCCACAGCTGGTTAAACAAAGGGGTGGTTGTGTTGATGTTTCTCTTCAAAGGGCAGTGGTGGGTTGAGTTCATTCCTCTTTCTTTCCATTAGTTTATTCTTCTCTGTTTGATAGTTTATTAGTAAGGCTGTCCTGTCCTGTTGTTCCCTACCTACTACGGAGGCACAGGACGCTGTTCTTAAAGGTTCCCCTTTTATACCGCTGCTTCTGGAATGTTCTACCTCCTTGTCTGGGACTCTGACCCTATACCCCTCTCCTCTCTTCCCGCCAGATCCTTCCATCCTTCCCTCTGGTGCTGCCTGTGTGTTTGATCAGCAAGTTCCCTCCATACTCAGCCTCCCTTGGAACATCCTCCGGGCCTCTTAGTTTTAACCCAAATCTGCCATCTCCCAAGGGCATCATCCGCTGCCCACCTCGAGGCTGGTGTCCTTCTTGCCCCCATTCCCACTTTGAACCCTTGGCGTCTCCCCTTCTGCTGGGAGCCTATACTCCTCCCGCGGTGTCATCTCCCTTCCTGTCGCTCCCCTCCGTTCCTGGAACATTTTGGCACTTGGCCCACTGTCGCCCTGGCCACTCCATCCATCCTCGGGGTGTCTTGGAACCCACTGACTGCCCTGTCCTCTACACCCCTTCACAACAGGACCCCAGCTCCGGCCACAGGCTCACGTCTTCTGGGACTGTTCGCTTAGTGCCCCCGCTGCCCTCCCCGTCCCCAGGCCCTCACCTCCCTGGCTTAGATCCGGGTCTGATCACATCTGTGCTTGCCCACGCTGCACACCTCGCCCCTCTGCGCTTTCCTCCTGCCTGTCCAGGAAAAACCCCTCCCCGTTGAATGTGACTAAGCCGTCTCCACTATCCTGTCTCCCTGTGCTGGTGTTGCCCAAAGACTTGGGTTCATTCAGCGGGTGAGTGACAAACAACTGTCCCTGGGAGATGCGGGTCTTGATCTGTAGGAGTTTTGGTTGCTTGCAGCCAGTGAGCACTGACAATAACCTTGAAAGCAGTGTCTCCCCAAGGGAAAGTGACGTGGGGCTTTTATAGGGTAGTAGAGAAAGCCGTGTCCTTTCACGCAGGGACAGAGTTTTCCTTACTCATGAGTGGTTGTCACAAGTGTGTTAAGGTAATGAAGCTTTAGCTCCTGCTGGGTGGAGACTTCAGCGTGGTCATGAGCGGAGTTCACTGGTGCTCACCTACAGGCGGCCAGGGTCTGTGGGGCTGGTGTCAGCCTGCTGAGTAGCCAGGTAGTGCGTGCCACCACACCTAATTTTTTAAAAATTTTTTTGTAGACATGGGGTCTTGCTGTGTTGTCCAGACTGATCTCAAACTCCTAGGCTCTAGTGATCCTCCTGCCTTGGCCTCCCAGAGTGCTAGGATTATAGGTGCGAGCCACTGCGCCCGGCCTATGTGCACTTCTTTGCTCCAAGCTGCAGTGTGGTCTGAGAAATGCTGGAGTCCTGACGTCTCTTTGTCCCTCCGATCCCGTCTCTGGAGCGTGTGGCAACCAGGAGCTTACAACAGGGACACAACCTGGGCCCCCGTGCGTCCCCGCAGCCTCTGCCTGGGCTGATGGCACAGGGGTGGCGGGTAAGCAGACGGACCGCAGAGCCGCACGCCCCCTCCCTTCCCTGACAAGTGTTCTCTTAGGTCGTCTTCCTCGGATTTCTGGAGTGCAAGCACCCCCTGGCCAGCCCCTGCAGGGGAGCAGAAATCATCTCTCTTCATACCCTGTAATCCCTCACATGTGACTTTAGTCTAAGGACTCCGCCTGACGCGCGTGTGGTCCGTGGGCAGAGTCCGTGCCACCACAGTGGCGTTTGGCAGGCAACCCTGTGGAGGCATGAGTGGCCCCAGGAGCTGGTGGCCCTCTGCAATTAGAACTCAGGCTCCCTCAAGACTTGTGTCCTCAGCTGTGGTGTCATTCAGTGGGCCGTGGCCCCAAAACTCTGTTATCAAGTGACTCTCGCAGCCCTGCTTTGACCCCTCAGGCTCCCTGAGGCCACTGTCCTTTGCTGGCACATCCGAGTCCCTGCCGGAGCTCTGTGTCCCCTGCCCCTACTTCCCTTCCTCCCCCACTCCCACCTGGCTTCTCCCTCGCCCTCCACCCAAACGGCTAGGACCGAGATTCCCAGGGACTGCCGTGCCATTAGCTCCAGCAGGCAATGCCTATCCTCATCTCCTGCAGGAAACCGCCTCTTCCCTGCCCTGCTTCCCCCCATCGTCTCCCTCTGCTCTGTCGGCTCTTTGCCTTGCGTTGGCGCCACAAGCACCTTCTTTCTCACCCCTGGTCTCTTCCTGGGCAGCCTGCACCACGTCCCTGGCTCTGCGTCTCGGGTGCACTCTGACCCCTAGATGGACACGTGTGGCCCAGACCCGGAGTGCCAGGTTCACGTGTCCAACCGTCCACCTAGCGCCTGCGGAGGCCCCACAGCCCTTCAGACTCCCTGTCCCACCCCTGGACCCAGGGTCTTCCTCCCAGCCTGGTTCTTCTGCCTCCTCTGCCCCGGTGATGGCACCTCGGTCACCCGGGGGACGGGCCTGTGGCTGCAAGTCAAACCTGACCTCCCTTTCCTTCCGGGTCCTTTCTACTTCCTTCATTAAATCAATTTCAAATCCTGTTTCTCTCCATCCTCACTGCAAAACAGGGTTGGAGCCGTCATCTCTTCCCAGCACTAATGTGAATAACCTTTGTCATCCATCTCCCTTGTGGTCCCTTTTTCTTTCTCCAGTCCATTTCCCACACTGTAGGTGAGTGTGATTCCTGGCACACCACTCGGTGGGTTCCGAGTCTAAATCCTGTGTTCTCACCTGACCCGCCTCTGCCCTCCTCCCCAGCCTGGTGGCCTCCCTCCCTGCCCGCACCTAGGGGCTGTGCCCGTGGGGTTCCCGTCCCTGTCTGTAAAGCCCTCCCCTGAGATTTTAGTTCAAACGTTGCTTCCCCAGAGCAGCCTTTCCTGGCTCGCAGACTACCCTGAACTTTCAGAGCACTCTGGGCTTCTGCATCGGAGCAATTAACACAATTAAAATTTTAAGCTAACTATACGATCACTTGCTCGGTGTCTGCCCCTCCTCTGGAGCATGGCCTGCAGGGGCCCAGAGCCCAGGGTGGCCCAGCTGCTAGCGCACAGCCTTGCTCAGGCCTCACTGAGGGAAGAAAATTGTTTCTGAAACGCCGTGCAGTAAAGGCACCGCCAAGTCAGGCAGCGCTTGTGCCCTGCTCGTCCGTGTATTTAGACTTTCTCTCCTGCGCGTGGACAGCCACACACCCACCCATTCCCTGCCACCCCTCCAGACACCACCCCGCCGGCTGTTGTCGCTGTGTTCTACCTGCTCCTTCCCCGAGTGCCTTCTCCTCTCTCACTGTTCTCTTCCCTTTGCATGTCCCCTGACAGACCTCTGTGCCTCCTCCCCTAATCATGAGCTTGGTGGCTGTCCTTGGGAGTTCCGGACCCCCACAGTTGAGAGAGAGAAGTGACTTCAAAGGAAGCGGAAAGTGGTGGGCTAGTGTTGGCCCGGCGCTGGCGGGGAAGCTCTAAGAAAGAAACGTCACATCTGTCCCAAGAACAGAACAGGACTGGAGGTTCGTTTCCAATGTCCCACTCGCAGTCTCATGTCACTCTGTCTCCTCACTTCCAGTTCCCCGTGGCCCTCCGTCAGCCACCATCGTGGCCTCCTCCACCAAGGTGAAGGGAGGGGATGACGTCCGCGTGCTCTGCGCCGTCCTGGGGGAGCCCGACGTGGAGGTGGAGTTCAGGTGGATCTTCCCGGGGCAGAAGGTGAGCACTGCCCCCGGGGCTCCACCATTCGAATTCAGTTTTGTCCCCACCCCGTGGCACAGGCCTTAACAATGTACAGGAAATGTGTGGGACCATGGAAGGCGCCGGGGCTGGCTTGCTTTCTGCTAAGAAGTTTCAATACATTTACAGATGGATTTTTTTTTTTTTTAAAGGGCAGGGAACAAAAGATAGGTCGCGATTAGGCAACTTGCTGAATGTACCTTCTTCCTAGACAGGTTTTCTTTGAAACCTTTAATTACAAAGGGACCGTGGTAGGAAAGGGAAACAATCCTCAATCCCAGGTTCTGGGGTCTTTCGGGGTGTTCTCTGTCCAAGCTGCGCCCCGTGGCAAGGAGCTCTGAGCAGACATCCACCAAGTGGGCAGAGACACACAGGCCCTGCCAAAGGTGCCGTTGAGGCCAGAGATCGTTTTAAAATAGACTTCCCCTAAAAGCAGCTCGAGCATATTTAGCCTTCGTGCAGGGCCTGCTTACTAAAATAACCAGCTCTGCCGCCACGGTGGAATAATCCCTCTGTTGCCAGAAGAGACTGGGCCTCTCAGGACACACTCAGGAGCTGATACACTTCCGACCTCTGGGGCGTGCTTGGTGGAAAATCATCCCTAGGGAACACGGTTTACCCACATCCCTGCAAGTGTTATTAAAAAAAAGTTGTCACACTTAGAGGACATTACTGATTTTCAGTAGAGGGTTTGGTTTTTTCCCTACAGTGCTAACTGGCATTTTCTAAGCAGAAAAGGTATTCAAATTATAAATATCACCAGCGTTGGCTGGACCATCTCAAAAGTGACCATCGTGCTTTCCAGAAATAGGGGGTCATGTCCTCTCATGCAGTATCTTATCCTTCCTTGGTACAACTTTTCTCCCACCAGAGTCCTGTGACACATTTGCCTAATCATACTGGTTCCTCTCCCGAATCTGTCACTGACACAGTGAGTGCTTCTTCAGGCCTCTGACTTTCAATTCTGTGAATAAGCCACTAAGCTAGGGGCAGGAAGTAGGCAGCAGGAAGAGGGAAGCAATGAAAAAACGTGGCCCCGTTTTTAATGCTTAACACCAGTTCCATTTCCTTGGCGTTCCAAAAGGATAAATTTTTGTATTAAGTAGAGGATGCCAAACAGCATGAAAATTTCCTTCCAAATTCAATGGGAAAAAGGCAGCCTAAAATGATTATATGGGGTCGAAGCGCCCACCGCCTATGAGCTACACATACCACGGTCTTTTCCACGCTTGTGTTTTCTACTTTGAAAGGGACACTCAACAGGGCTGGGTGAATGGGAGCTGTTTCCAGCAGCTTGTCCCTCATGCTTCAGCGCGTGTGGGTGTCTGTCGTTAACCAGGACGAAAGGCCTGTGACCATTCAAGACACGTGGAGGCTGATCCACAGAGGACTCGGACACACCACGAGGCTCTCCCAGAGCGTCATCGCAGTGCACGACTTCGAGACCAGCGACACAGGGTACTACATTTGCACTGCGCAGAATCCTCAAGGCCAGACTACGGTCACTACCGCTGTTGAGTTTTCCTGACTTGGAAAAGCAGGTACGATGAACTTAGGGGAGGCCCACTCAGCTTTGGGGTTCTTACTAGTGCTCTGCTGGAGGCGGAAGTCCGGCACCAAGCCACGAACCCTGCTTTGTGAGCTAGACCCAGACATCCAAACTAAAAACCAGTCAGGTGGTTGACTAATGGAAGTGTTAAGTTTTCTAACAGAAAGCATGTATTTTGATTGCTTGCCTAGTTTCTATAAGTATATATGTAAATGACTTTATATAATCATTTCTATTAAATGAGCAAGTTTTTGTAAAAATGGGCTAAGTGCTTGTTTTTTAAGTTGGCTTAAAGTACAGCCAGCCAGACTCGTGGGTCAATACCTAATAGTCTTTTGTATGATCACAATATATTTGAATTTTAAGATGAGGATAAGTAGTTGAACTATACAAGCTTCAAATGTATAGACCTGTCACCACTTTTTCTAAGTAGCAACTTTAAAGCAAACATGAGCTAAATTATGAAGGTATTGAAAAACATGTGTACTTGGCTTTTTCTTAATTTCTAGATTATTCAATAACAAAATGTTTTAACTTCCTATATAAAATAGATATCTTCAAAAATATTTACACCACAGCTATTCTAATTCGCACATTATACAGCACAGATTGAAAAATATTTGGCTGATTTTAACAAATACAGCTGTTAGCCAAAGCTCTGCCAGGACCGGTCGCTGGACAGTCCCAGGAAATAGCTTCAGAGGAGACAACATTAAAGACCGTATTCTGAGAAGGGCCATAACCTTTGCAGAGTGAAGTGTGTCAGAGGTCGCAATTCTTACATTGAATATTCCAGCATTATTTATTTGATCCAAGTAAAATACACTTTCCATCACTATAAACTGAGCACAACTACAGTTTATACATCCATGTTTTTATGACGTGCCAACATTTTGCATCCTACGTGAAACATTTGGTTTAAAAAAAAAAATCTTTAAAGTTCTCTATCTTCTCTCCTGTTCTATCCTCCAAAGAATATTTTATATTAATTGCTATAAGATTTATTTCCCAGACACATCGTAGGGAGGACAGCAGGGAACAGCACAAGACTTACCACGTGTAGGGGCTGAATGGCAAACCCAACTTTGGCTAAATGTCATCGAGAACAACTTGGACGCGTGAGCAGAGACATTCCAGGAAGTGGCAGTGAACCTACGTTTCCATTTGTCAGAAGCAAACGTGGAAGGTTACGTATGTAATAAACTACTGGAATTTAAACTTCAGACAATCACTAATTAAAGAAAACATGCATCATGAATATCAACTTGCTATGTAATGTACATGTAAATGACTCAAATATCCACCTCTAGTATCCTGAAGCTCTTCTTACTAGAGGGGTTATTTGGCCACTGAACGCAGATTAGTAAATACATGCAGGGGGAGAGAAAAAGCCACAGTTCTTCCTTCCACCTTTTCCAAAGTCTTAGAACTGGGGGAGGTAATAAGTTTTGGAAAGATAATCGAAATGTATCTTGGAGAAGAGTTGTACAAGCCACATTTTCCATTGCTGGCTGACCGTTCTACCACCTTCCCAAAGACAGAGGGATTCCTCAAACCGTACCTGAAAAAGTAGCACGATCGTCCCACACTGCTTTCTTCTATTAAATACTGCATCGTTGGCTTAACTCAAGGTGCTTCTATTCATCCATAAGCACTGAATCGTATTTTAGTTCTATTAGCCACTGACTTTTCCTTGTTCTTTATTCTAAGGTTTTCTCCAAAACTATAGTATCAGATCGAGGCCTTAGTGTATCTGGAGAGTGGTTTCAGCACCTTGAAGATGAGCTGGCTCTGGGAAAGCATGTTCCTTTGTCCTTGTCCCAGAGAAAAGCAGGTCGGAGGTAGGAGGTTTGCTTTCGTGGCTCTGGATGGTGGAGAAAGTAAAGGGGGAATGAGGCGGAGGGGAGGGGAGGGGAGGGCAGGGGAGCGTGTAGATCTGCAAGGGAAGCTTAGATCAAGGTAGAAATACGGCAGCACAACCCCCTGGCACTGCCCTGTTTCTTTTAAAGAAAAAGTAGTGTTCTACATTGACTCAGAGCCTGAGAGAATGGATCGCAGTATAGTGTTGGCTGACATGGTTAAGTAAAAAATCTACAGAAAAATCTAGCTAGTTTCAACGGCCATGGCTGAGAAATTGCCAACAAGTTACCCCAAAAACATACCGAGAATGTACATACAGAGCGTAGCCTCCCCTGCGTGTCACAGGGCTGAGAGGAGTTGGTGGTGGGTCAGAATTCAAGCAACTATTGCTTTTTTCCTATGGCTTTTGCTGAAATGCGTGCGCTGACTTGATTAGTACGTATCCAGATAGATTCAGCTTTTGACTCAACACGCAGCCAAGGCGGCTGCAGCAGACACTGGTACATCCATTTCATTCACACCCCACCCCCCAGTCAGACCAAAATAAAACTCACAAGAAGGTGTCTGTGGTGAAGAACATTACAAAGGTTATAAATCTTTATCGTAATAGGCCCCTGAGAGTTTTTCCTCTTACGCTTAAGTGGAAAGGCAACGAACAAGATTCTCTCATTCTTTAAGTGCTTTGTGCAATGACGTCCATGTCGGTTCCGAAATCTTTTTTGGAGGAGTCTTTTGGACCGAGTCCCCAGCCAGAGTTCCAGTCTCAGAAGTAGCCGATTCTGGTGGTGGTGACTTTTCCAGTTATCCCGCGGGAATGACACGTAAGCTAACGTAGCTCTTGCTCCCACGATCACGGTCAGTCCTGCAGACCTGGATCAGAACGCGCTCGGACAGTCTCTGGGCTTTCAGGAAGTGTCATCTGGGTGAAATGCTGGGGTTGGAGAAGGAGCCAGAATTCCTGGGTGACTGGAAGGGGACAGCGGGGGACGTGGGGGATCGCTTGGGGCTGCACAGGTCGCCGTTGTGCAGCTTCCACAGAAGCTCCTCGTTCTCCATGGAGAGCCGCTTGTTGACTTTCGACTCCTTCTCCAGGGACTCCTGCAGAACGGCCTGCTCAGTAGAGAGTTGCCTTCGAGAGGAAAAAGAGCCAGAAACCATGTGAATCTAAGTGAGAAAACAACTTCAATTTTTTTTTTTTTTAAAGTACCAAACTATAAGCTTTGGGATAAAACAGAATCCTGCACAAGGTCAAACGTATTTGGCTGGCTAAGAAACCCAAATAGTAGAAGTAGGAGCTTGAACCAAAAACAAAGAAACTACACTTTGAGCAATTTCACAGTAGGCTGAGTGGTACTGCTGTGCAAGTACTCTACATGTTTTATGACCATCTTACAGTTGGGGCTGTTTTCTATTAATGTTTGGTTTTGTGCTACTCTTCCTCTGAAAGCACCCTCAGAGTCAGGAAGCCAGAGCTGCTGCAAGGAGGCTGGTGCTCTTGGGTCTCAGTGTTTGGTCCAGGCTGTTCTGGTAAAACCATGAGCTGCTACAATCATATTTTCCAGAGAGAAATTAGGACCCCTTAACCACTGGCTTCAGCAACATCTCTGGGAGGTGCCCGTGTGGAGTGTGGCGAGAAAGTAACATCAGATGTTCAAGGAAGGGGAGGAGCTCAGGAAAAACAGGACTGTTTTATTTTTACCTTGAAATTGCCATGTGCTTGTCCATCCGAGCTTTTAATTCCTCGTTCTCCTGCTGGAATCTCTTCAATTTGTCAACCAACGCCGTGTTGTTGTCCACCTTGGCACAAGCAAGAATTCTGACATTTATACAACGATTAAAAAAAAAAAAAAAACCCTCTTTTTTTTTTTTTTCCCTCCTTCCAGGACTCACAGTCTAACCCCTCATTTCTTAAAGCACATTCAGGATGGAAAGATTTAATTAAGAAAGTTTAATAGCATACTGAAATACTTATACACAGACATACCACAAAAAGAACCTCAAGCAGCAAAAATAGAGCATCTAGATATTATTTTTTTAAAATGTATGCCAGGCTGCTTAAACACAGACATTACCTGGGGGGAAACGGATTTGTTCCAGGTCACACAGTTTTAGAATCACCCCTGGGAACAGACACCCTGGGCAACCCTGGGTGCTGTGTCTCCTCCCGTTTCAAGGTGAAACGAACACCGCAGCTAGACAGCCTGCGTTTATCAAAAGCTACTACATCCTCTTACGGTAAAATTTTGCAAAACAAAAGATTCCCACGTTTGATGAAAACTCATAGGCTAACAGTTCACAGTTCTTGGCAGTGTTCAGTATGGCCTTAAACATTAGCATTTACCTCTGAGTAGCCACACAGAGTGACAATACAAAGGCCACCCTCCTCGGTTCAACTAAAGATAGTGTCTGTTCTGTTCTCCTGCGGGCCTGCCCAGGCTAAACTTTCAAGGAAAACAAATTGATCGGCAGAGAGATTAAAGGATAAGATTCCCTGAAGACATTTAATCACTTAACATGATGAAGAGCTGATTACAGCCCAGCTCACTGTCTAAAGGTAAGATTTTATTACTTGCTTAGGTGGTGACATTACACCTCCATCAAAATTAATTCTAAGTCCCTGTCCTTGTGGCATATGCCTAACTTTCCAGAAAACGAGTCTGGAATATAAGAAAAAAGGAACCTTGAAAAGTTCTACAATTATAAAGGAATTCTAGGTAAAACAGGGGTGGAAAAATCTGGAATGGGAGACTGGGCAGTGATTGGCCTTTAAGTACTATCTCACCCAATCCTTCATTCTGTAGAATAGGAAACTAATCCTGATGGTGTCACAGAGCTAACTGCTGGCAGAGCTGGCTTTCACACCAAAGCTTTCTCGCTTAGCACAAGGAGGTTTTCTAAGTGTCTTAATTTCTTCAAAGACCTGAAATTTACAAATAAATAAGGTAACAGTGGGTTTCCCATCATCGTATTAACCCATTCTTCCACATACACACAACGCAAGGCTGATGGATGTTATCCTGATACTTCCTGGGCATGGCAGGAAACTGAAATACTATGGATCAACAAAAATTAAAATGTGTTGGTAATTTTTGGAGAAGTTCTGTTACATGAATTGTACACAGAGCAACTAATCATTAACGGGATCATCTGAGTCACCGCTGACTGCCGGATTAGCAGAGTTATCGGACTCGCTGTAACGGGATGACCTCTGGCAGGAACTGATACGTATACTAGGCTGGGCCCATTAACAACCACAAGTTCCTTGTCTTCCTTTAAAAAAAAATTTCCTGATAATTCAAAGTGCCCAGATAGCCACATGGGGGCTTCGCCGTTACCTCCCTCAACAGAGAGGTAATTAGTCTCTAGAAGAAAACCAAACCAAACCCCCAAACCAAGAAAACACCAGAGTGACCACCACACTCCCTACTGTCCAGGGCTGCTTTGGGTTTTAATGAGGCACTTGTTCAACGATGCGTCTTGCAGGGAGAAGAGGCCATTAGTGCTTGGCAGCTGGTGCAATCAAGCGCGGATGACAGCGATAGCTGGGATCACTTAAGCCACCCTGCTGTCCACGTGGGTAGAGTCCTACCTGGTAGCAGCAATCACATAGTTCTGGGTAGACTTGTCACATACTACATCATTCTCTGTCCTATAGACTGCAAAGTACATTTTATTCATATTCTTCACAATGCTTTCTATATGTCCAACTGGATTAATCTTATTAAAGCACACATTCTTTTATTGCATGCCAGCCCACAATAAGCAAGATGAAGAATTTAGGTAGACTGTACTGCTTCAATGGGACTAATTTACATATTCAACTATTCTGGACATGAGAGACCTGCCCAGAGTTGGTGGTATATTAAAGTACTGATTTTATATTATAGGTATTTAAAAATTTTTCTTAGGCAAGTGAAGATTCACAGACCACTAAAATGTGAGCCTCATTTGTTTGTCATTGTTTTGCGAAGAACAGAATGCTGCTTTAGATATTCCTTGGGGGGGAAAAATATTTTAGAAGGCAGCAACGAATAAACCTTCAACAAAGTTGGAAAAGAAAAGGTAACTTTTATCTTTTGTATGATTTCCAAAGGTCTTTAAGTAGCAGTCAACCTAACGCCAGAGTTCTAAGTCCAGAGCTCAATTCCCATTTTATAGACACTACCCCATTTGGTAAGATCCTCAATGAGCTCTCGTGAAAGAGACATACCAGTTTCTCCATTTTCATTAACTTGATGTCTTGCTGATGCAGTTTCTCATTCTTGATCTCTAACACAGCTTTCAGGCTCTCTAATTCTTGCTCCAGATACATGATCTGAGGGTTTTTCTGGAAAGGACACAGCAAGATATCGCTCTGACTTATCTCACACAATCACATGGTCCAAATTCTTAATATAAAGAACCTTTGATTAGATTTAGACAGTAGATAAACAAGTGGCAAGAGACTTCCATCTTCTTAATAGCAGTTTCAAAGAAAGGTGAAAAAAAGAAGAGTTAAGATCATTTTAATCTCAAAGACTTTGGTCATAATGTTGGAAACAAACATTTTACTCATTTGTCAGTAAGTTAATATGGAAAAACATTGGTTTCATCAAGTATGTTACTGGAACCAGGAGAAAAACAATTGCTTGTGATAAGGGACAGGACTCTGGCTGGAGAGGAGGCAATCTACAAGTCCTTTATTGGTGTTTGCAGGGGGAAAGGGAACAATAGTTGCCTCTAACCAAAGTAACCAATCAGGAGTGAAAAGGCAGCACCATTTATAGGGCTTTCTGGAAAATAACAATAATGTCCTCAGTCTTTAGATTTTTCTTATGATGGGACCATGTTGCCTGGGCCATGCTTCTAGGGCAGCCATAACACCACAAAACCTACTTGGCATGTAATACATACTCTACTAAAATTCCTTCCAAAATAAACATTACCTAGGGGAAGACATCCTCTGAGAGCACACCGCATCGTCAGCCTGGCTCCCTGCCGTACTCCTTGCTTTATTCATGAAAATTGAACAGAACCATCCGCAATTTATGATACAAATTAAAAGCGTAAGATGTACTGATCGGGTGTTTAATGAAGGAATTTCTTAGCTAAGATCCAGTGGTATACAGTAGATCATCAAAACCATTCTCCAGGGCAGTGCTCTGGACCAATCCTGACTACAGTAACACTCAGATCTTCAGCTCCAGGCTCTTTTGATAGTTACCTGAGGCCGGGAAGGGTACGTGGGCAGGTAGGGGGTGAAGAGAGGTAGGTTAATGGGTACAAGCATATAATCAGATAGAAGGAACAATTTCTAGTGTTCAACATCACAGTAGGGTGACTGTAGTTAACAACGATGGATTATATATTTCAGACGAGATGAGCTGTTCAGGGTGGTACAGCTTACACTACTATATATTTCAAAATATCTAGAAGAAAAGATCTGAAATGTTCCCAGTACCAAGAAATGCTAACTGTTTGAAGCAATGGATATCCTAAATACCCTAACTGGATCATTACACATTCCATACATGTATAAAAATATCACATGTACCTCATAAATATGTACAAATATTATGCAATAAAAAAATTTCATACATTTTATATGTATATCCTTGTACATCCTTTTTTTTTTAACCCTGAAAATAGCAAATCCTACTTTATTTTTGTTAGAGGGAAACAGCATAACTTCCTCTGTCAATTTTTAAATTAGCGAGCCTTGTACCGGCTCTACCTTTTCCTGCCTCTCTGCCAGCCTGTCCCTCTCTCCTGACCCCACTCATATGCACTTTTTCCACAGCCTCAGCTTGCTGACACGGGGGACAGCCTTGGATGTTACACAGTTCCTCAGTCTGTTTCCTCCTCAGCTTTTCCAAAGCAGCTGCAGTACAAGAACCTCCTTTGTGTACTAGGAATTCCTTTAAAAACCATTAGTAAGGTTTTCGCTCTGCATGTAAGTCCAGATTGCTTTCAAAATCACTGACCTTTCCTAAGAATCTTCCAGAATAAACAGCTTTTAAGTTTCCTCGAATATGACCTCATCTAATTTTAACAAATGGCTAAAGGGTCTCTTAATGAGATTATCAGCAAAAGATCTCATCGAGAGATCCAGGCATGCACTTTGGGAGCTGGCCACAGATTTTAAGTGGCGAAAAAGCTTTGCTTCCGCAGTCCTAGGGCACACAAACATGGAATGGAAATGGTACTAAAGGCAGAAGCAGCAAGCAAAATTCTTTTCTCCAAAAAAAAAAAAAAAAAAAGGGCAGGGGAGTATGATACATGTTACAAGAGAAAGCTGAGCTTACAAGAGGTTTGTACTTTTCAACAGTGACATTCGTCTATACAATGAAATATTATTCATCCATAACAACAGATGAAGTACTGACACGTGCTACAACATGGATGAACCTTGAAAACATGACGCTAAGTGAAAGACACCACTCATAAAGGACCGTGTATTATACGATCCCCTTTGTATGCATTGTCCAAAACAAGCAAATCCATGGAGTAAAAAGTACGCTGGTAGTTGCCTAGTGCTGGGGGATTTGGCTGCTAATGGGTATAAGGCTTCTTTTCGGGGTGCTGAAATGTTCCAGAATTACATACTGGTGACCAATGCACAACTTTATGAATATACTAAAAATCACTGAATTGTACATTTTAAAAGGGTGAACTTTGGGGTATGTAAATTATATCTTGATACAGTTTTGTTTTTTTTTTTAAAGGAAAGTCCCCACTTAAAATCCTGATCCTCACTGGTAGTTTTCTCGTTTTCCTGTAGGTATTAGCTTAGACCACCCAAAATATCTCGGACTTCATCTGTATGTCACTTTTTAGGATGCAGAAAAACATACCACTAAATGAAGAAGCTGGTTTAACCCACCTTAAAAAGCACATCGCTAGACAGGAAAAGGATTCCAAACCTGCAATACTTCTCTGCCTACTCAACACTGAATGGCCTCTAAAAGGCAACTGAGCAGAAGAAAAACTGAGTAGTAATAAAGGAGCACACATAACTTACCAAATTTGCTTTCTCTCTCGATACTCTTTTTTGTTCTTCTGATTTCAACTTTTCATTTAAAGCATCGTTTTCACTCTTCAGATCATTGATTTGTTTCTAAGACACAAACGATGAAACGTGGGACATAAATTAACGAGAAGACACAGAAACACCAAAACCACAGAGACATCAAGAATGATGGATTTTTTGGGGGCGGGGAGGTTATCGAGATTCACCCACCTCTAGCGATTCCTGCTTCTCAGAAAGTAAATCTTCAAGTGATTTCTTTTCTATTTCATGGCTTTTCTTGATTTCTGGAAAGAAATATTTTTAAGGCAACAACATTTTATGATATCACCGTACTGCACAACCGCTAAAGCACATAGACGTAGGAGGAGATTAAGCAGCGACTATGTTACTTTACATTTGTAGGATGCTTTCTTGTAACTTAAGCCATCAGTTCTCAAAACAGTCGTGTGAGGTGGGCAGGGAAGATATTCCCATTTTATGACTGACAACACTGAGGCCCACAAGGCCAAGAGACCTCAAGAAATACTAAGTGTCCCTTCCAGGGCAGGCTCTCAAAACACTGGCATTTAGACTCTTTTCAGTGAGCCAAACAGACGTCTAAAATTAAACTCCCTTCCAGCAGGAAGGAAGAAAACCAGTGTTTACTAACTGGCTGCCCTGAGGCAGCCACTTTCACATATTATTATCTCTGACTTCACCCAACTCTATCTTTCTGATGGGAGCGTCCTTGCTGAAGGTCACACGGCCAGTTCGTAGCACGGGCCCACTCGCTGCTCGGTGAGACGCAGCTGGTTCAGTAGAAAGACTTTGGCCACAGTGCCGATTCTGTTCTGAAAGCAACGGATTCTTACTCTTTTCCTGCATGCTTTAACCCCTCCGATGACAATAGATGATATAATAAGAAAGACTCTTTTGATACAGCAAGTGTCATCGGCATTTCACAGTGGCGTTGGTAGGATACAGCACGCAGCGTGGATCCTTCGCTGTGGCCAGGACATAAACTGACACTTTCAACTTCCCCGGAATCTAAACTGGCAACCGCCACCACCACCGTGACAAAGGCCTTTAAAATCTTCCAAAGTCCCGCTATTTACTAAAACCGGCATCTGTAACGAACTATTATTTGCGTCCTCAGCGGCAAAGGGCGTCTGTTAACAATGAACAATGCAAAACAGAACCAAGAACACTCCAGACCCAACGCCACAGGGCTTGCTCTGAAGGGGAAAGTTATGAATCATTTCCGTCCTGAGACATACCACGCTGTTCCATTAGATCTTTTCCTGTTTAAAGAGCAAAAAACATCCTTGCCTGAAAGGGAGGCTTCGTAGGCCTTCTTTAGCAGCTCTATTTTCTCCGAGTGGCTGGCTTCGATTTCCAACTTAGAGGTTTCATGGGCAGCATTTAAGTTGTCGAACTGTAAGAAACAAACAGAACCACAGTTTGACAGCAAAACCGGAAGTCCTGAGTTGAGTAAGCAGCAGGGACATTAGGAGACGGCACACATTAGCTGCAGTTTAAGGGCCACCTAGCACATTACAAGGATGGAAATAAAGGACCACCCAACTGGGATTTGCCACTCCCAACTCTGCTCTGTTCCTGCCCTAGGAACACAGACGGAGAAGCTCTCTGGGGGCCGCTGACGGAAATGGCCGAGTCCCTGAGAAGGGACGAGCATGTGTCTCGCAGTGACAGGACCACGCCTGGCACGTCAGCCTCTGTGTCCTCCGTGCCTATCATGTGTCTGCCCTGGAGGAGGCACTGTAAATATTTACTAAATGAAAATTGAGTTTAAAAGCAGCAGCCAGGAAATTAAAAAGAGGCTTACGATATGCTATTAAGTGAAAACAATATTGGTTATTAAACAAGAGCCATTTAAAAAAAAAAAGAAGAGGAAACGTAAACCAACGGTTTGGCAGCACACCGCCAGGAAGCTCACAATGGGATTATTTCTGGGCAGGGGAATAAAGGGTTCTTTTAAATTTTATCTTTTCCTTCTTTTTTCCTTTCCTTTTTCACTCAACATATATACACTGCTTTGGTCGTAAGAAGAAAAATTTAATTAAAAAAATGTTTTTCACCTATTAAGCTAAAAAACAAAGAGCAACTCATCACAGCGAATGAACCACAATCAGAACTCAAGTAAACAGCCACGGGCAAGAGCACGCTCCGGTTCCAAAGGCACAGACAGACCTGCTCTTGCAGCTGAGTTTTGTACTTCTCTGCTTCTTCGATGTAAGTGTCCCGAAGCTTTTCATACTCCCTCGTGTAAAATTCTTTGAGCCGATTCTCTCGCTCTGTTTTATCGGCCTGGTGCTGCTGGACAAACCCTTCGTAAGCTGTTTCTAACTCGTTCCTGGCTTTCTCCAATTTCTCACAGGTGGTGGAAGCAGTGACTAGAAAGAGATGAAAAAGAAAAAAAAAAAGATGACATTTCATCTGCTAAATGTCCTAAATTCCCAACAGTCACGCACAGCTGTGATGCCACCAGATGCATAAACACAATGATGTCTCGGCTCTCTGGGGACCAGATCTCCAAGTGTAGCAGTATGGGAGTGAACTTAAAAAGGAACAAGAGGAAATGATCTCTGGCAGCAAAAAACAAACAACAACAACAAAAAACACCACCCAAAAAACTGACTACCAAGCAGTAAGAGAAGAACTGGAAGAGAGCTGGGTTGCCAAGTGAAGACCCTCCTTTTGCATGGTGACCAGGTAGTATAGTGGCCACCAAGACAGGAGCCTCTAGTTGGCTGTGACATTACTAAGGACAAGTTAGTCCCCTCCTGGCCAGCGAGGGCAGAAGCTCAGAACAGAAGCAGCGGGACAGATGGGGGAGAGGAAACGAGCACCGTCAGCTTGTACTTAATTTGACCTGATTTCAAATTGTTATTTCAAAACTACAGTAAGAAAAACAAAGTATTAGAACATAAAAACACTAGAACGTAAAAAGTTTTAGGAACGAACACATTTTAAAAGTGCCAATATAATATGACTCTATGGAAGGGTTAACATATTTTAAAAGGACAAAGTAATCTGATGAAGGTAATTTAAAATCCGAGCATCCTGCCTCTCCCCCACAGCTGCCCCAAGCAGAATGACTAATAATGTCAAACACGGCACACACATACAGAGACACGTGTACGCAAACCATAGTAACCCTAGAAGATCTCGAATTCCTGAGGAAGCTTGACTTTGGCCCCTTCCAGCCTTCCATCACTGATGTGTAAATACAGGTATGGGGGATGCTACTGTCCCTGTCACTGGGATGACGTTCTCAGCACCCCAGAGTGCCCCTGGAGTCACATAAAATGGTTACTGGTGAGTCTGTTAATCTTGACCTCCCTTTTGGTAAGGAATATGTATTTCGGGAGTTGTGGGAGGAAAAAGATCGTTTTAGGGCATAGAAAAGGATAGTTTAGATGAATGATAATGCCATCTCAGAAACGTGAAACTGGCAGGTTCCTGGGACAATTTACCTACAACGATGTAGACTTTTTTCCTCAGGAATATGCCAGGTGGTGGCAGAAATACCGGTCACTCGCTCCAACTCAGTTCTCTTTCAGAGGTGAAAGAGGTCATGTTGGAATAATGGCAAGAAGTATCTGCTAAAGAAAACCCTTAAAAAAAATAAAATCAAATAAATCCACTAATGTTTGTTAAAGGGGAGAGGAACTAACTTAAAAGCAAACAAACAAAAACTACTACCGGATGCCTGGCACAGAATGGGGCTCTGTACGTGTCATCTTGTGGGACCCTGACAGAGGTCCTCTGAGAATCTGATTCCTAAACGTATAAATTAGGAAACAACACAGAGTGAGTAGTCCACCCAGAGGCGCGGAACTAGTACGCGGTGGAGGACGGGTTTTGGTGAACAGTCTGAATTCTGATTCTGTCTGCACCAAAAGCCGGGGCCCTTCGTTCCCACCAGGCTGCCTCTCGTACCGGGAGCCAGCGAGGTCCACGGCGGGGCCTCTCCTGGGAGGCTCCCTGCAGGATCAAGAAGACAGGACGCAGACATGTGAGCAGCAGCAGGACTGGGCAGGTACTAGGGGCCCAGTGAGTGACACTCAACATGGTTTGCACCTCATTAGGGTGGACCGGAAGGTTTGGTCAGATCTTTAAAATAATTTTCCCAAAAAAAAAAAAAAATGTGGTAAAATAGATAAAACATAAAGTTACCTGTCTTAATTATTTTTAAGTGTATAATTCAGTCTCATTAAGTACGTTCACATCACTGTGCAACCATCATCACCATCCACCTCCAGAACCTTCCCCCGCAAAGAGAAACTCCATACCGATTAAACAGTAACTCCCTTCCCCCATCCCCTGGCTGCCACCATCTTTCTTTCTTTCTCTCCGAATTTGACTGTTCTAGAGACCTCATATAAGTGGAATCATCTAGTACTCGTCCTTTGGTAACTGCTTATTTCACTCAGTGTAATGTCCTCAAGGTCCACCCACGTTGTAGCATGTGTCAGAATTTCCTTCCTTTTCAAGGCCAAATAATATTCCCTCGTACGTATATACCGCATTTGGTTTATCCATTTATCTGTTGATGGACACGTGGGGTTGCTTCCACCTCTTGGCTGTTGTGAATAACGCTGCTCTGCACACGGTGTGCAAATACCAGCCATGTGATATAAATAAAAATCTGGTATCAAAGGTGAAAACCGTATTCCAACACGAGAAATAGTGGGAGATTGCACAGCGTGCCCTGGGGACAGAAACACGCACAGAGCAGAAAAGCTGAAGACCCAGAAAGATACTGGATGGAGGCCAGATGACAGGGGCCATCGCATGGGACATCACTGACAACTCGGTCCTTTGGGACTAAATATGAGAAGTTTCTTCTTTGAAAAGATTTAGGAGAAGATAACGGCTATCGTGATTGCTAAAGAACACCCTCTTCACATTCACTTTGCCTTCTATGACACTATTGACCAGAGGAGATAAAAAGATCCAGGAAGTCAAATGTCAGTCAAATGAGTAAACACAACCTTAGCTTCTGCCAACGAACTTTCCAACGTACACAACTATTGGGGCTACAAGCTTTCGCCGAAGGTTCCTTGTGTGAATCCCATATTACAACTTTAAGTAGGCAACAAAAACACTTCGCAGACAATCAGTGAAGGCATCAAATAGCTTTCTACTCAGAGAAATCCTGCTTTGACACAGCCTCTTCTCTTACTTCCCTTGGAATTTCAGGTATCAGCAAAGTTAAATAAAAAAAAAAGGTAAAAACATGATCTGAGCCTGTCTGAAAGCTCGTATCAGAGATAGGAACATCTAAGTGAACCCAATGACTCAGGAATAAACTAAAAGGGACCATCTTCATGCTTTGGACTAGAAGAGCTTCTAAGCGGAGGTGAATAGTATGCTACACCTGCCCGATTTTAACACATCTGCTTATGATCAAACTACCGCCAGTTTGAATACACCATTATGGTGCATCAGACTTTAAAATCAAATAGGATACACAGAAATCCTTTCCCATCAGCCACCAGACAGAGCCGTTTCCTGTGTTTACCAAAAGAGAAAAAAAAAGAAAACGAAGCTCAGATAGTGTGCAGTGTTGTTGGCCACCAGGAGGGGTGACGGGAGGACAGACGGAGAAAATGGGTCAGATGGGGGAGCGGGCAGTTCGCTGCTGTCATTCTCATAGACCAGCGCGGCAGGCCCAGCCCCAGACAGTGACGCCAGCCTGCAGTTGCGCACAGACCTTTGCTCTGTTCACCGTGTGAGGAACAGCTGGGCTGAGACGATCACTCACACGAACGGCTTCAGTTTGAACTAACCGGACCTTCGGGCTCTTAAAGAAATGTTTATCTAGCAGAGAGACTCATGAAATATGTTTACAAGGTTGCACATGTAAATGCTGTATTAAGGTTCTCAGAGTGCTCTTTGCTGTGACATACTAGGGGTGCAGGGGGCAGACGTCACCCCACGATTTTAGGCCATGGACTTCCCCTTGTACTTACTGCAACATAGGAGAGAGTTACGGTGCCGTCTGTGTGTGCCTCGCTCCTGTCCTCAGTCTAGTCTCTTCTTACACGTGCTCCAGATTCTACTAGCTCTCAATGGATTAGACACCCAACAAAGCCAAAACCAAAGTCTTCTAGAATTTGGAACAAGCATGCGTGGAATTTTCTCCCAGTGCTAGGTGTAATTGTTTGAAAGAAGGTATTACACAAACACAAAACCCACACAACAAAGTCAAAATGGCCCTTTTGTCCTTGCCGTTTTAATCAGTCCATTGATTGATTTTTAAAAGCATGTATTAATACATGATTGAGGGCACCAAAAAACCACTGCCTGTACGAGAACTATTGGATTATAACTTTCATGCACATTTGCAAACTATGAAAGCTACCTCCAGCAATCTAGCTTCAGATGAGAAATACGGTTTTCAGAATTGAAAAAGAAAGAAAAGAAAAACTAACTCGTTTACAAAATCATCCCTAAAATGTAAGACCAATTTAAGATTAGAAGTCAATTGTTTTCCCTCTGGAATGAATGAACCAGCCCTGGGGAAGCCCGTCACCTGCCTTTAGTTCTGTCCTCCTTCGTTCCTCTCTTTAATACCTCACAGTATACGCTTTTTGCGCTAAATGTAACTTTCTCATCTTACTTCTCCTGTGCCCCACCCCTAGAACCCTGCGGGGACACCACCTTCTCCTGTAGTAGTGTGAGGATTTCACACTATTATTCTTCCAAGGGAAATCCTATCACGACACACTTCCGGGGCAAGTGACTGCGTTGATGACTCTCTTAACACAGGGTCTACTCTGTTTTGAAATGCGAGGTAGCTATATCGCTGAACAGGGGAACCAAGAAGCCATTTTTAAAAAGCAAACAGATACTTTGTAGACAGGCGGTACCCCATAGAAGAAGAAAAGGGCAGGACCTAGACTGTCCCACAGACAGGCATTTCCAGCTTCCTGGGCCTGCGTGTCCTGATATGCAAGGTAGGAATGAACACCACTGTGCTGCCAACCTCACAGTTTGGTGAGAATAAAGCGAAATACAGAGTTATTATACTTTGTAGAGAAAGCCTTCACAGGCTGTCTGTGGAACGATCACCTACTCCTGAGAGCTCCAGGGTTTGCTTCCCTAAATGTAACTTTTTCACATCGCCAAGAAATTTGGCAGACATGAGGTAAGCAAGGGTCTTTTGCTAAATGTCAAAATTAGCTACAAATGGCTTTCTGAACACTCTTGGGCATTCTATCAATGATTCCATATGATCCAATTTCAAAGTCTTCCACTAAGTGTAACTTTTCCATAACTTTATCAAATCAATCCTCCCAGGAATAATACCACTTTACCTTTAAAACTCAATTCATATTTAAACGTCCTCTAGCATGTATTGTGTCACGTGACATAACAATGCTTT